TAATGTGTTATGGAATAGATAAATGTTAATATTTTATGTAATGAAGGTATGTTACCAAAGTACATTTAAAACACAATTTTTGAAATTTTATTTTTGTGTATAGACACACACACATACACAGCAGACACAGAATAAAAAACACAGGAACACAGATAGATGTCTATAGATTTTACACAGAATATGTACTATTTATAACTAGAAAACTTCATTAAATATTATATAATGAAGTTACGACGTCTGGAGGGTGTTGTCCTCTGTAGAGAAGATTGATTGGGTTTGAACGTGTTTTGTTCAGGGAAGGATTTAAAGCTGTTTTGTATGTAGTAAATAGCATTTGGGCAAAAGACACATTTACAGTCACATAGAGACACTTCAGGCAATGGTGTGGTTGTTATTAATAAAAAAATACACCTTAGCTGCAGGAAGAATAATGAAAATTACCCAATAATTTTTTAATCATTGACTCTTTCCTTTAGGAACTTTTTTCTTTATGTAGTTAATTAAAGTAAGGCTGTGATTTAAGTTTTTTTAGTTTTTTTTTTAAAGTAGTATTGTCTAAAGCTGTGGGATTTGATCAGAACTCTTTATCTCCTGTGGCTTCAATTTTCTGTCCCAAAGCAACAATGCCCACCTTTAAGGGTTGCTTGGAGGGTAATGTAACATAAATGCTTAACCTTAAGCAATGGGTGTTAGCACACACTAGAACGGCAGATTAGCCTGGGGATTAAGGGCTTGAGTTCTGAAATCGGAACTGGATTTTGATTTCCAGTTCTCCCCACTTACCTAGGTCTTTAATTGTATACTTCCCTTAACTTCTCTTCCTCCATTTCCCATCTTTAAAATAAGAACAATAATAGTACCTACTTTAGAGGCTTGCTCTGAGGGTATTATAAAAGGCAGAGCGTAGTGTGTAGCACAAACTAGCTTGTTGATATAACTCTTAACTCTTGCTATAGATGGAGCTGTTTTGCATATGGCTTTACATTAACCTACCAGCAAAATTAGTTAAGTGCCTGGAACAGTAATTACTTTTGTCATATATATAAAATATAAGTGGGCTTCCCTGGTGGTTCAGATGGTAAAGATCTGCCTGCAGTGCAGGAGACCCAGGTTCAATTCTTGGGTCAGGAAGACCCCCCGGAGAAGAGAATGGCAACCCACTCCAGTATTCTTGCCTGGAGAATTCCATGGACAGAGGAGCCTGGTGGGCCACAGTCCATGGGTTTGCGGAGTTGGACACAACCGAGGTAACTAACGTAAAACGTAGGTTGTCGTTTAGTCACTAAGTCACGTCCAGCTCTTTTTTTGAGACCCAATGGGCTGTAGCCCGCCAAGCTCCTCTGTCCTTGGGATTTCTCAGGCGAGAATACTGGAGTGGGTTGCCATTCCCTTCTTTGGGGTATCTTCCCAGCTCAGGGGTCAAACCTGCACCTCCTGCACTGGCAGGAGGATTCTTTACCACTTAGCCACCAGGGAAGCCCGTGACGGAGCATAGGGCATTGCTTTTTTGGAAAACCTTCCTTGACTAGTACTAAGTCACTGGCCACACAGAGCCCGTGTTTCCATTGTATTCTTTCACCAGTTTAGAGAGGTTGTACTGTACCTCGTGAGGCCTGCAAGCCTAAGACTTTGTTGGAATATCTTACTTTATCATCCTTAGTTTGATTTACTGCTTCCTGAGTTCCAGAAATAACATTGATCTTGTTTAGAGGATTTCAAGCCTATTAGAGTAGAGACACTGATGCATCCTAGGTTCTAGAGCAAAGGGAGCTTGAAAGTTAAATAAAAACATTTCTTTCTTTATGGTCTTTTTTGAAGGTTAGGCTCTTGAGCAAAGGAAGAATTTGTAATATGTAGTATTGTGTTCCTTGAGGTTCTGCTTGCTCTAAGTCTCCCTGGGATTGTCAAAACTTCCATTCAACCCCCTGATGTCATTTTCTTTATTGTCCTTCAGCTTACTGAGCATCTTAGCTGGATGGGTCTGGAGTTAAATACAATATGGGGCCCTGGTTTGTTGCCTCATAAGTAACTGGCATTTGAAGTCTTAAATGCAGTATAAAATGAGGGTAAACAGTACCCCGTCAGTGTTTAAATTCTGTGTGGAAAAATCACTCACACACAGCAGTTTATGATCTCTAGGCACATCTGTTTAATGACACAGTGACAGAGGAACAATTTTAAGGAAGCCCAGTACAGTAGCTGCCAGTTAGGAAGACAATTACAGAGTGTAAGAATGGACAGCACCTTCTGAGTATTGCATCTTCTGCAGGTGCCGTCATGATGGAGCACCCTGCCGCTATGCCCTTCTTCCATCATGTCTCCTGCTTCCTGGGCACATAGGAAATAGAAGCCTTCCCTCCCTCCCTCTCCTCCCCTCCTTCCTTCCTTCCTTCAAAACAAGACGTGATAATACTCAAAAGAAGTGTGGAAGGCAGTCACTTCACTTTATGGTCTTGAGCAGCTCAGCAGTGTCCTCAAGGACGCAAGGTCTTTGCATCTTCTGTTGCATCGTCCTCGGTGTGTTGACTTTGTCCTCTTGTTTCCCCATTGCTGCAATATGACTTATGCTGCTCCATAAGCCATTTGTCACACAACTCAGACAAGGTTTTACAGAGAGCCTGTGTAGGAGTCCACTCAGCACTCTTTTTTCAGACACCTGCATGGTGAGGAGCTTAATCTGGAAGCATAGTATGGGAAAAAAATAGACAAAATTATCCTTGAAGAGACTTCATAATCCATCTTGGGCATGTGTGCAAATTAAGTGATTGCATTTTTAATATGTAAATTGAAAACACTTGTATCCTAAGTGGCATGTATATGTTCCAAAGCCAATACCGTCTTGAAATATATGAAGAGTCAGGGTATGATTGATTTCACTTAATCCCTAAAAAATATGTGAGTGCTTGATAATATTTTAATTTTTACTTTTTTTGCATGTGTATGTAGAAAGTTTCCTCTAAATCAGTTCCTGTCTACTTTAAATGTTTTATTTTGGAGGCATGTTTTCCCGTACCCATGACCTCAGGACACTGGGTGTGCAATGAAAACTACTGATAGGACTGACTGTGATATTCAAGATAAGCCTTTCAGTTCACAAAATCATCTCCTCTCTTTCTTCTTAGCTAGAAACCATATTCTTTGTGAAATCAACCGAGGGAATGTTGAATTTATACTGTAACTAACCCTCTCGGCCACTGAGAAAATGCATTGCTTCATAGGCTATGTCTGTGACTTTAGATGAATTGAATTACAAGCTGTTTGAAGATGGTTTCCTGGTTGAAGACATTATCTTGCCCTCAGTTTTGACGATGCTCTCAACTCTTGATGAACTTCTCACTTCGACTTGTTTATTCCTGGGCTTATTCCTCCAGCTGTCTGTTGGTCTTCCCTTTCTGAGCATCTACAATTATATTTTTGTTTTATTCAGTTTAGTTTCTTCCTTGTTAGTCATTGGTCCCTGACTTGCCTGTTACATGCACATTTATTTCCATCATATTGTTTGACACAGACACTGACATTTTGCCCTCCATTAATTGGTTAAGATAAATATATTTTGCTGTGCAATGAGGAGCGCTCTATTTATTGTACATAAATACCTAACGTGGTGACTTTTTCAGTCGTTTATAATGATTTGGGCTTAATTTCGCCTTTTTTTTTTCATGAGAAGGTTGTCAACAACCCTACTAGACTCTGTGATTTGCATGTGAAGCTCAGGGAAGCCAAGCCCAATAGGAAGATATTATACAGAAAACTGGCTCTTTCAAAGGTGGCTTCCATTTTTAAAGAGACATTTAAAAAAATTGGACTATAATGAATTTATAATTTTATTCAATCATTTCTCAGTACTTTTGGAGTTATCAAAACAGTCCTTTAGTAATTATTGATTTTCCTTGATAAACATTTATGGCATCTTTTTTGCAAAAAAAAAATTCTTTTGTAATCTAATAAGAGTGGAAAGGGGTTAGAAACCCAACCTATAATGATATGCAAGAGATGACAATACTGACAGTGAGTAAAGAAATATGGTGTCATTGTGTTTATTTCATACTCTCTAAACTACCTGTGATGAGCTTAAGCAGTTTCATTCATGAATAGAAAAACTTTAATTATTCACTGCTTTGGTGTACTATACAAGTCGAATTATTAACATTGTAATTTGTTTGGATACCTTCTAGTAGGAAAATGTATCAGAAATAACTAATCATTTGCAACATAGGATAAGGCAACTCTATCTACAGAGGGCAATCAGAAAGAATAGCAGTGGGCTATTGATTGCTTTTTAGACAAGAAAAAAAAAATCTGTTCCATTTCTAAATGTTAACAATTGTGAGAGGAAAATCCCCACCTGGAGAGGAGTTTTCCAGGCTGCTTCGCCGCCAGGTGTTTGACATTGCGTGGAGTCTTAGATGAATAAGGCTTGTGGCAGTCGTAGGGAACCCTGTCCTCGAGGACTCCGCTTCCTGCTGTGAAGGCTTCTCTGTTCAAAGCAGGCCCCTATCGGTGGAATGTTCCAGTGATCTCTGTGCAAAGCGCAGTTTTCTCCCCCGTTGAATCTGAGAGAGCTACAGAAGAGGACACTTGCCTGCTAACAAAATAAATTTCAGAATGTTGCCAGTGAATAAATTGCATGTTTTCTACTGTTTATGGGATTTAACTCTCATCATTTATCAGTGGGAATAAACCGTGCCACCTTGGGTCCTTTTCAACATACCTGCATGCTACAGACACGATTTACAGTCATTCTGAAGTTTAAGAAAATCCAAATCATATGATAGTTTGCTTTGAGACCGTCTGTATTTCCCCCTTTCCCTTTCTCCCTCTCCTTGACCTAGCAGCAGGAAGCCTTTGTTTGAGGTGTTCATCTGGAACAACTTTTCCACACTTGTTTTCATGTTCTGTTAGATTACAGGGCAGCAGGCCTACCTTTGAAGCTCCTTTCTCTTTTGTTTCTTCCCCGTGCACTCCAGTAATTAACTTTGTCCTTCTTTTATTTGTTCCAGTCAATCGCAGGCCACTCTGCTGAGCATCTTCTCCCAGGAGTACCAGGTTAGAAGTTTTCTCCTTTGTGAGGGTTGACAGGTGCCTAATTGAATGATGAATGTCCCTTTATTTCTTTGTAATTGAACTGCCAGCTCTCTGATTGGGTTGGAGGATGTTCTCCTTTCCACATCAAGCACCGCCTGCGTCTCAGTGGAGGCCTGCCAAGCCTACCCATCCATCTGTCTAATAACATCTAGCCTTTGCTTATTTGGTGGACCTGTAATAAATTATGCTAAACCATTATTATTCTGACAATAATAATTTCCCCGTGTTGCGTGGTTCCATGTGCTAAATGTTTGCTGACTTGCACTGTCAGTGCCGCTTTCCATTGCTGACAGAGATGATGATAAATGACCATCGCTGGAGTGGCAGAAGGCAAGAGAGGCAGAAAATGGAGTCATTTATCATGAGATGACAGGTGTCAGTCAAGTGGCAAGTCTCTATGGAATTACTTTTTGTAGTTTTCAAATAAGTTGTTTTTAAGCAATGTTCTTCCTGGTTAAAAATGGCAATTGGATTGTAAAACTAGACTGCAGAGGACTTAGATGGAATTGAATTGAGGGAAAATTAATACAAAGGTTGAAAGAGGGAACAAGTTTTTCTCTGCCCTCTACAACCCTAAGCAAACTTATTTAGATTCAATTACTATGACCCTGTTGGCTTTTACATATATACTGTACCTTGCGGTACAGACTGGAGACATCCCAGCCATGCAATAGAGATTAAAATGCATAGGTTCATAGAGTAGAAGGGAAAAAATATCTGCTGCCGCCCAAATCCCCAAACTATTATTCGGTTTGCCCTTTTTGTTAGACATGGGGATCAAGAAATATGTCATTTTTGTTCTTGAACCTGATCTGCAACATGACATAAAGATCTTTTTTATTTTGTTTCAGAAACATATTAAGAGAACACATGCCAAGCATCATACTTCAGAAGCGATTGAAAGTTATTACCAGAGGTATGACCTGCCTGCCCCACTAGAGGGTATCATAATACCTATTAATTGTAATGATAATTATGAATAAATTAGATTAATAAATTGATTTTCTATAAAACATTCCAAGACATTTTGTTTTAAGTCTGTTATTTAAGACGTAAAGTATATTTTTTTGAATTTCTCAAATACTATGTTATATAGATATAAAGAATATGGTGAGACTATCTTAATTTACATGTGTGTGAAATCTTTACTATGTAAGAAAAAGTTACAGTATTAGAAAATCCCCATTGGATGCTTGAAACTTACTGTAAATGCATATCTTATATAGATGCATATGTTCATGCATACATATGTCTATGTGTATATGTGAATGTTCTCAAGCCAATTTTTATTTCTCATGTAAATCAGCAAGTTGAAAAATATATTAGAAAGTAAGATTGAATTTTGGTACAGTTGTATTTTGCATTGTAGGTATTGGTTAGCCATTTTAGAAATACAAAAGAAAGATATATATCAAGTGAGGACATATGGAGATATATAATAATGTACAACTGTCAGATTTTAAGAGGGGTTTATATTTTAAAAGGAAATCTTTTAATTTCAGCCTAATTTATTATAGTTCCCAACCTTTCTTGTTCTGAAACAAAAAGAGTCTTTAAAATAGCTCCTCTTAAAAAAAAATTAAAAATTTTTTTCTTTGTAATATGAGTGAATAACTTATAATGGTAAATAATAATGGTTTGAATTAGAAATTGTTGGTTGCTTTCTGAAGTATTTTAGGGACATATTGGAAAGGAAAACTGTTTGAAATATAGTCTAAAATTATTATACTTAAGATTGACAGAGCAATCTTTCTATGGTGAGAATGATACCACTGACTTTAGATGAATGATTTTTATGCATGAAAATTCTATGAATTAAGTGAATATACAGATAAAATATTGGAATTATGTTTCTGTAAAGCCATATTTTTAAAGAATTGAGAAATGTTTATTGAAAAGTTATTCAAGTTAGGTTTTGTAAAAAGTATTCACTATGCCAAATGTGGTAAAGATATGTTCTGTTTTGAGTGGAAATGTCTGTTAAAGAAATATACATGCATACACACCATACCTGTAGGCCACCACCCCTCCACACACACACACTTTTATGTCTCAGAGAATTACTCTCCAAGAAGTGTTTGTAAAGTTTGAATTGACTTATTCAAAAGTCATAATCTCCTCAGTGAAATTAACATCTAAATTGAAGTCATCACCTAAATCATACATATAAAATTGAGAACTTCCCATAAAATGCCATGAAACCAGCAACTGCTTTGGCAACCAGACCCTCCACAGAAAGACTGAAAAGTGGTTCATGTGTCAAAAAGTATATTCTTATATAAAACTTATAGTCTTAGGATTTCATATAAAAGTATGGTTCTATATCCAGACTTTAAGGCCCTGTTAACATCAACAAAGGAGAACAGAGCATTTTCTAGAAATTTGGAGATCTGCTAACAGGCCATGGGGCTGCCCTCTAATAATAATTTTTTTTTTCATTGTATAAAGTCTGTTTTAATTAGATGATTCCTAAGATCTCTAAATACTACTTTTAAAAAAGTTAGGTTCATTAAAGAGTATATTTGTTTTCTAAAGTATGAACATACTTTATTGGGTTATCTGGATAGTTTAGGCCAGAAACAAAAATCTTTCCTTTAAGTATGGTTACTCAAGGAACAGTTGACTGGGTAATAATGAAAATGAAGAAACATATTTGTGTTTCTTTAAATTTAGTTAAATACAAGAATCTCAATTTTGTGGAGTCACAATGTTTGAAACAAAAACTTGAAGTTAGGCTGTAATGGACAGACTAATAGGAAAGCAGTCTGACTTGTTTCTTACTTTATTACCCTACTTCCTTACTTTTTGCCCGACACCTTGTACTTGGAGACAGGCTTTGTTGTTACCTTTCAGATGATTTGACCTCATAGGCCTCTTCTAAATGTGCAGGTTGAATGTCTCTGTATCCTGTGTGGTAAATTGGCCCAAAAAGATTTTTGTTTTCCAGCTGATTAGCATAAAGCAAAATCGTATCAAAACATGCTTAAGCAGTTTGACAATCTTAACAACTTACTTTTTTTAATAAAAGTAATACTTGCCTATTGTGAAAATTAAGCCTATGTGTAATGGCATAAAAAAGAAAGGAATCAATTGCCTGTAATTGTGGCGTCCATAGATAACCACTGGTATTTTTCTTCTCGGTCTTCTGTCAATCCATTTTTACATAGATGAGGTCGTACTATATATGCAGCTGTGAATTCTGAACTTAATACTTGGAAAAATGTGTATAACATAGTATTGTTTTGAAGAAAGCTTTTTGTAAACATTTTGATACATCATCATATGAAGGTATCAAAGTTCATTGAAATATTCTTCTGTCATACATATATGTTTCCAATTTTCTGATATAAATAATGCTGTGATAAATATTATGGTGCTTAAGTCTTTGCATTTTGGATTAGTTTCTCAATATTTCTGTAGATGGAATTACTGGTGCAAATAATGAACACATAAGATTTTATTGTAATGTAATACAAACTAGAAATAATGTAATTACAACCTAGAAAGGTTGTAATGGTTTCATTTCTACTAGCAGTATCAGAGAATTCCTGTGTCTCTGTATTCTTGCTAGTATTGAGATGATCTCAATTCAGAATTTGAAGTCTGTATTTAAAACCATATAGTCCACAATGTGATTGCATTGTGGTCAACTGAAATTTCAAATTATCCAGACACCAGTAGAAAATATTTTCCCTTTGAATTACTGAGGAAATATCCTCAATTCTTCATGTTGTGTGTGTATAGACACAGCTTGAGTGTTCATATTGAAAACAGCTTTCTATTCTTTCCTACTGTAATGATGATATTTTAGTTCTAAACAGGAAACATACTTGGTAAAATTTGTTTAGATTTCTTTAGATCAGTGCACACGGGCACTGATCAATGCATGTGTGGGTGCACACACACACATACACACACACACACACACACACACGCTAACAACTTGGTCAGATTTGCATATTTCCTCATCAGTAGCAAAGTTTAGAAACATTGTCTCATATCCCTTCTCTCAACACATACTGTCCAAGGGGCCCCCTTGATTAGCTTTGAAGAATCAGACCAATTAGATTTTATTCAGGTGTTCACATGAGAAAAAAGGTTAGTTCAAATATGATATTGACATCAAATGATACAAATAGTTTTGGAAAATTTGAACCACTTTTTTTTAAATTAGCACTGTTTTCTTTGCACTCAATGTGTCCCACCTCCTGTGCTAGGAACCAAGTATAAGGACCATAAGTACCTGTCCTCAGCTACTTTGTTCCCTGGGAGAATAGCTGCAGGCATGGAGATGGGTTCCAGAGATTTTTCGATATAGAATCAACAAAGGTGGTGTTCAGATGTAAGCTTAGTGAAGAATTTTGGTAGTTTTTGAAGTTTTACCATAATAGTTGTTATAAAAATATTAAAGATTAGATAACTTTGCCTTATGCTTAAAATCAGTACATATTGTTTTTAATCTTAGATGCTAACAGATCTTTCACACTAAATAAATGTCATAAAATGGACCTTCTGTGAAGGTCTTTTAAGGATGGTTTCACGTACAAGTTATACATTTGTTAGTCCTCCTGTGGCAAACTGAAGGATGACATTTAGTCTATGTCATCTATTGCTTTTTGACCAGCTCCTGTTTTTTTAAACTTAAAGTATCTTTAAACTGGAAATATCCTATTAGTTATTACCAGGATAGTGATGGATGCAGCATTATATAAACCATATAATTTGGATTTAAGATGACAGTTTTCTGGCACAGGCAGTGATCTGGGATCTAGCTGTCCTCTTTCATTCTTTCCAGATCAACCCCTGAGAAGAGGTTCTGCTCTGGCGGCACTGGAGCCTTTCCTGGTCCTCAGACAGCCCAGGCCCATTCCTGACATTTGCACCTACTGTTCCCTTGTTGGGAATATTCTTCCTCTGATGGCTTGCTGCTTTCCTTTTTGTCTGTTTCTACTTCAGTGTCACTTCCTTAGAGAGGGTCTTCCTGACCAGCCCATCTAATTTATACTGTGAAAGTGTTAGTCACTCAGTCATGTCCAACTCTTGGCAACCCCATGGACCGTAGCCCGCCAGGCTCCTCTGTCCATGGAATTCTCCAGGCAAGTATACTGGAGTGGTTTGCCATTCCCTTCTCCAGGGAAATCCTCCCAACCCAGGAATCAAATCTGTGTCTCCTGCATCACAGGCAGATTCTTTACCATCTGAGCCACCAGGGAAACCCAACTTACATTATAGCATATGTCATTATTTTATATATTTGTTTCTCTGTCTTTTTCTTCTCTGTCTTTCCACTGCGGTATAATCTCAGTGATGGTAGGAGCTAAAGTTTTGCTCCCTGCTGCTTCTTCAGAACCTGGAATAAGGTCTGACAACTAGTCAGCTCTCAAAATGTTTATGGGATAAGTGAATGTTAAGTGGAGAGTTGTAAAGATATCCTATTATAGGCTTAAATACCCTGACCCAGAATCAGAATGCTTAATGGATTAGTTAAGCATCTGGTTAGTTACTCCAATTTGATGGAACTGATTGATTGTTTCTTGAGCAGGCCTATCCGTGCAATGGAAATTCTGTAAGTTGATTGTGAAGGTCTTAGCTGACCTATTTCCCAAGGATCTTTCTCTCAACCACACTTGCTTTGTTTGTTTTTATTTTTGTTTTGTTTTTCCTTTGATCTTGAAATGAAAGTACTTATTTCCCAGTTAGATTCCTAAACAATTTAAGGAAGAGCCAACAGATGAAAATGGATTTATTAAAATTACTTTGAAGTTATAATGATTCCGAGCCTTTTACCCACCTTAAATAATTTGATTTTATTCCACTTTGTTTGTTGGAAACTATACATCTTTATAAACATACATGTAAAATAGTATAATTTCATTTAGTATTTTCTCCGGGCAGTTACAAAGAAGACCTCATCTGTTGACTTTGATTTTAACTATTGAACAAATGTCATTAATTTATTCAATCAAACAGTACACTGTAGAGAAAATGTTCATACTTAATTCTATTTTCTTGTCTAAAATGTTTTTAATTAATTACTCATTTATTAAAGAAAAAAATATGTATTACAATATAATTACCTATTATAAGCCAAGAACTGTGCTACACATAATAAACTGAATAAAATGAAAGTTTTCTACCCTCATGAGGCTTTCAGCCGTATAATTGGGATGTGTCTGAGGTGGACGAGTAACTCAGCAGATACAGTGTTCTGAGCTAAGCGATGGAGAGATAAACAGGGTGCTCCTCGACTGCACATTGAGGGACACTTAACATAGTCCTGGTTGTGGTGGATGAAAAAGGTGCTGTACAAGGTGGCTTATGAGTTATCCAGGTGAAAGGTCAGAGTGGGATACAGTGACTAGAAATGAGGCTGGCTGAAGAGAGTAGGTAGGAACCAGATTACAAAGAACCTTACAAGAATTTTTAAGTGATTATAATTTAATTTTGAGATTTTGTTTGGGGCTTTTGAAATGTTTTAAGAAGGAGAATTGTACGTTCAAATTTTTGTTTTAAAAAAATCAGTCTGGCCTCCACGTCTGGGATGAATTTGGGGACTTTTTTGTTTGTTTGTTTTTGTAGTGTTAGGAGATGAGGAGAGCTAGAGGTAGTGACAGAAATCTAGAGCAGGTAAGATGATGGCTTGTGTTGCCTGTTAAAGGGTTGGTGACCCACTGATGAAAAGTTTGTTCCATTCTTTTTCCCTAATCAAGTACCAACCAACCCTGTGAACTTAAAGTAAATCAAAAGATGGTATGCTTGCATGGATTCTTTTTTCATGAGTGAACTTATTTCCTTCCCATGAAGTGGTTATGGTATAGATAATGCCAGGGTAATAGGGTTAGTTCTTTTCAAAGTTCACCTCTCTGTTCACCTTACACATTAGGAGGAAAAAACAAGGAAGATGGGTATGCTCAGACCGTCTGCCCCCAACTTCGCTTAGTTAGTTGCCAGTGGTTTTGAGGTAAGCTGTTTTTGTTATTCTTTTCCCTTCAGTGCTTTCCTGTGACAGTAGCATACTTTAACTAGAGCTGAGTGTGGCATTTGCCCAGGAAAAACATGTACACACAGGGGATGCTGACAAGTCTATGCTGGCCTTTTCTTGTCACTGCCTTACCACTTGGCTTTGTCTTATCTAGGTATCTGAATGGAGTGGAGGAAAATGGAGCTGCCCCAGTGCTCCTGGAGCTAGCCAATGAGGTAATGTTATTGTTGTTATTTTATTTAAACCTACATAAAACCTAAGGGGCCTGTGTAGAGTGGCTCTGCTTAGAATTATAATTAACCTTAAAAAAAAAAAAGAGATTTTGAGGTGCAGCAGACATTTAAATTGTTCCCTGGTCTCTTTGTACTTTTAATAATTGGACCGAGAGCTTCATGTATTAATAAATCAGTTAACTTAATTAGTCTGTTTCTTTTAAAATAAATGAGTAAACAGCTTCTTGATTTTTTATTTTGTGGGAAATTTCTACCAAACAGCTCAGGACATGCTCTTCTTTAGATGTGTTGTCTTAATTTAGTGTGAGAAATACCTGTGTCAAGTACAGAGATGTATGGCAAGAAACCCATGCTGTTACAAAAATGAAGAGAGAAATTGTGTACCTAAAGATGTAACATTTACTTGACTCATTTTTGTTGTTAGCAAACTTTTATTATATTAAAAGATACATGCCTTCCAGAAGTCTTTCTTTATATGGAGAAGCATACTGTTCTTATTAACACTAAGGATGAAGTTATTTATTGAACTTATTTGTTAACTCTTATCTGCTTCTGTTTGGGGAAACAAATAATAGTCTTACATTTAAAAAAGGAAACCCTAAAGACTTCCCATGAATGAAGAAGCTGTAAAAAGTTCATAATAGTTGCAGAGAGCACACCGAAAAAATAAAATATTTAATTCCTAAACTTTAAAATATTTATTCACCGTAATAAGAGAAATACAATATTTAGTCTGACTTGGAACTGCTTATGCAAACCTCATAGGGATGGAATGAAATGTACACTGTTTTCATGTTGCATTATAATAGAAAACATAGAAGCAAGGCAGAAAATGTGTGTTTGCATTAAAGATGACTCGGTACTGTGAGCATTAACCGTTGCAGTAGCAGCAAGTGCTCCATGTAAGGAAGGCTTCTCTCACAGCTTCTGACTGCTGTGTACCTCCACAGTCAGCCATTGAACATTACCTATCAGTTTCTAGCAGGTTTTAATAGTCCAGGCATTGTCTACACAATCTGATAGGATAGTTAACATACAGAATGGATGTCTCTCCTCCTCCTAGCAAAGCATGTTTTTTTATTCTTTTTTTAATTTCTAGAGCAGGGTGGTTTTTAAATGTCTCCAGACTTGAGTCGATTCTGTTAGCAACTTGAGATATCTGAGGTATAACTTATTCAGACTTTAGTGATTGCCCTTTATAAAAAAGAAGAGCGTTCTTTATGGGGAAAAAAAAAAAGCATTCCTGATATAGCATCTAGAAGGAGTGTATGCAAAGGTGATAGTCATTTTTATAGATGAATATATTGATGGCATAAGTTTTATATAGTAGCATTTTGTATTCATTTGAGTTTTTAATGGATATTTCTGTTTAGCTTAGCTTATTTAGCTGACCTTAACTTCTATCTTCTAGTAATATGGAAAATTTTAACCCACTGACACATTTTCTCCATGTCAATAAATCTGTTATTTACCATGAATATATAGCAATGTTTAACCAAAGGAAATAAATCACTGTTTAAAGATGTTTTCTCTCCTTTGGCTGCAGATTAGTACAGAAATGATAGCATTTTCTGAGAGATTGCTAATGCATTTGGAAAATTGGGGGATGACCAGTACCAGATTAGGCCTTCTTAACAACCAAGCTGCCATTTTTATATGATAGTTAATATCTAAATGACATATGCTCGCATCTGATGACAATTGATGCGATGGTAATAGTTTATGAGTCAATATATATTTAATCAGTAGAAACTGTAAAAATTGATGAGAAATATATAACATTGGTACATTACAGTGTGCAGCAACTCTCTTAAATAAGAGCACTGTATTATTGTTGATTTGGAAAGTAAGGACTCTGTGTGGTCATCACTGATTTTATAAATGTCTTAATACTTATTTTCCTATTTCAAGCCTAAAAATGAACATTTGAGAAAATCTTACTTTGTTAGTAATAATAAGATCAGTCATTCTGTTCTCTCCACACAAATATTTTCAAGTGAGATTTGAAGCACTATGAATTTTACTTACATGCTAAATTCTGACATGAAGCATGATGGCCCTATTTCAGAGAAAGATGGACACATGATTAATATGAAAATTAGGGAGATGCAAGTACCTGAACTAATAAGGTAGTCCTTATTCAGGCTGGACTACCTTCAGTAATTTCACCATTTTTCATGTGTCAGCTCTGATGTGGGTTACTAGGAATAAGCAGCTTCGTGGAAAGCATTTCTTTCTACTTGGGGAATTTAAGGGCATCCAAGTACATACATATTTGAAAAAACTGTTCATACAAATGAAGCCAGCCTTTTTGTCTAGTTACTAAATCAAGATAAAATTTTGGTATGAATATGGGACTTGAAAGCCTGTCAGGAAAAAAATCATGGTGATAATACATGAGATAACACTTGCTATCTTAACACCTAAGATGAAAAGACTTATTTGGGGGGAGCATTACTATTCTGGAAAAACACAGGCCTATTTTCTGGTGAAATTAAAACAATGGTTACAAGGGATCTGTGAACTAAAAAAACGATAGTAGGTTTCCAGAAGAGTAGATGCATTTTTAATGAAAATGACTGTTGGATTGAGTATCCCCTGTTTTCTGTTTGAGCCTTTGTAGAAAAGTTACCTCCCTGGCTTCTATATTAGCTAAGTAACATTTCAGATAAACTCAAGAATAGTGAGCTACAGTACAAG